CAGATCACTGTGTGGCAATTTCAAAGCCTCTTACTTCTCTGGGCCTTACTTGCCACATCTGGAAATTAACGATTAAATTTGATGGGACCTCCCAAGCAATAGACAGGATCTGCTCATCACAATGGCAGCGAGACTGAGGGGTGTCCATGCCCCCGGGAGTAGGAGAAGCACAGGTTGGCTGTATTCCCTTCTTACTCACCCCGGGCAGGGGGGGGGGGGGGGGGCTTTGATTTTCATCGACTTCAATAGGCCCAGAGCAAGGGCAAGGTTTTGGAGAAAACCTCTTTGGGAGAGGGCATGGATCCCTAGACTGTGCAGCCCAGGCCTCCTCATGTCCCTTTGACTCCTCCTCCAGCTAAAACCTCCAGCTTATCCACTTCCTAAAGATCATCACAGAGGCTCCACAACCTTCCCTTTTTAAAAACTCTTGCTGATGGAAAATTCTTCCTCATACCTAATCTAAGTCCATCTGCTGCAATTTCTGTCTATTTTCTCTCGTTCAATCCTTACTGGAGATGGAGAACAGCTGGTCGCCATCCTCCATATAACATCCCCTCCTAAACCAAAATCAGTTATGACATCACCCTTCAGCCTGTTTTTCTTCTGGCATAACATACACCATTCCTTCCGACCTGCCTTCATGGATTCTAACTCTGAAAGCATCGCCGGTCACTGTGGCCCACACTGAAAGTAGCTCTGCAAGCTCCACATCTTTCTAAAGCTGTGGCATCCACAGAGAGCTGTAGGGCTCTGTAGCAAGATTGAGAGAGAAGGTCAGAGTACAATGAGAACATAGTCCAAGCCCCTGGCTTTATCCATAGAGGGAAACTGAAGGTCAAAAAGGGTAAGTAAATTCAGTGTCCAAGGTCAAGTCTCAGGGATCAGGCTCCAGGCACTAGACATCAAATACTGCCACAAAGCCCTGAGTGGCCACAGTGTGTCCTCAATGCGGGTAAAAGCGGAACTACCTTTAATTGAAAAGCAAAGAGCCACGGTCTCCCAGTGTGCTATCTATCCAAACCATCTTCCCAGTCCCACTAGCAGATGTCTGAATTTCTACTACGCACATCTTTGATTTCCATGAAAAATTCAAATACTGGACTGGGGGTGTAGCTCAGTGGTAGAACACTTGCTCAGCATGAGTGGGCCCTTGTTTTAATCCCCAGCATCACAAAATTGTAAAAAAAATTAAAAATTTAAAAGATTTCTCTAATTGGCAATACCGTTCACTGTTCACACCTTAGTATGAATGAGTGGATTTAATCTTTTCCAACTATTGATAGATTTAAGGGTGACAAGAAAACAAAGAACAAAGAACCTGGGAGAATGACAAACCAGTGGAGCTGCTTGCTAATGTTTCCAAGGTCAGTCAGGGCTGGATGTGGGGCTGTGGGAGGACGTAGGCCTCAGGAGGGTGGAGCAGCAGAGCCTTGTGCATGGTAGGAATCCCCCAGGCTTTGATATATCTGCCCTGTCTGCCTCACACAGGTCACCTGCAAGGCCCCAGGTGCTCTTGCAAGGTCTGCAGTAGAACAGAACTTGGTGAAAGGATTACCTCATTGCTCCCACCGGGCTGGATCCCATGAATATTCCACAATTCCTAAAGTATTCTGCTGAACTCTTTTCCCAAGTAAGGTGAGCAGGGCACCTAAAAGCAAATCTCAACCCGATGGTGCCCTTACATGACAGGAAAGAAGAACCAGAGGGAAGGAGGAAGGAGAGGTGTAAGAATGAATACGATTATTCAGATACCTGCATCAAGGTGAAAGGAAGGGGCAGAGGAAGGAAGGGGCACGTGAGTATAAGGAAGCATGAGTCAGATGAACTATTTGCTTTAAACTCTGCCCATAAAATTTTCCTAAGTGAAGAATGGAGGGGGACAATAACAGAGTGTGTTGAATACATTGCAGAGCCTTGATTTCAAAACAGCCTTTTTCCCACTTTGAATAAATAGGAGCACATTGTGCTCCAATCTCATCAACTTTCAGGGATGTTCTAGACTGCTTCAAACCTCCAGACACACCCTCCCTGAGGATCACTGGGGGAGTCAGACATCCACAAAAGAAAAGGGAAACACTGTGACAGCATTTACCAAAACACCTAACCCAATCAGTGTGCTTATTTGATTTCCCCAAAACCACAAAATTAGATTTTAAAAGAGAAGACAAAAAGGCACTTTTCTGATAAAAATTACAATATGTTTTCCATCTTATTCAGGGGACAGTTTTCTTTAACAGCAAAATTGGCACAAAATGACAAGAGCAAATCAGGTTGGCAAAGAGATTATTTATTGATGTGTGTAGGACAAAAAGACTTGACAGAGAGGATGATGAAGATAGAAGGTCGGGAAAGTAGGGATCAGACTTTTACTTGCAAGGTAAATTGCACTGGGCTTGGAAAAGCAGGAGATGCAACCTCTCTACCTACACCATAGTGATCAAATGAGAGAAATCCCAGTTGGGCCAGTTGGGGAAAGGAAAAAAAATGCTAGATTTCTGAATGGTGCTTATATACAGGGTCCTGGCTAAAGCTATCATGTTTGATAAAATGAGAAGTAACAAATTTAATTTCCTGAACATCAGTCGGTCCCTTCATACACAGAAAGGCACCCAGCTTCACAAGGAGTTAATCAGCCTGACACCAGCAATTAAATTCTCCAAACTGGATCACAGCAGAGACACAGGATCCTGGTTTTTCACACCCCAGCCCACCCAAGGTGAAATGGCAATGATGGTGTTTTATGTTTTGTCAATTATTCTTCAGCTCCTATATATATATATGTATTTTTTTAGCGTAAGTTGTTATTTTAATGATCTCTGTTCCAAATGGGGAAATACAAGGAAAAGGAATGAGGAGGAGGAGAGGGAGAGAAAAAGCAAGTGCTCCAGCGTGTCCCACTTGTACTTTTCAAAGCTCCCTCTGCTCCCTCCCCCCAGCCCAGCCTTTTTCCTCTGTGCATGAGTCACCGCTCAGGAGCTGTTTTAAATGCCTTACTTTTAATGTTCTCTATCACTGTAGAAATCCAGCAGATCAGCATCAGTTGAAGGGGTCACTGGTTCTGCTCTTGCTTCCTGGTCCTAGACACCCCTCAAACTCAAAAGCATTTTCTAATTTATTACTGTCTTCATGAAAACCAAGGGGTCTGCCGTCAAACCACCGTGGGCTAGATGTTGCCTCTTCTGGGCTCCCTGGGGGTCGCATGCCCTAGACAGACCACAGAGGATGAAGTCCTTGACCAAATGTTAGTTTCCATTCCAGGTCCCTGGAACACAAAGGAATCACACTGTGCAGGGCTGCAAGTTTGGTTTTGTTTACTGTCAGACAGCATGTGCAGAAGAGAAAGCTGACTGCATCCTGACCCACAACAAAAAGTCAGACAGCTATTTTTTCAAACCATTGTGAGTAGAGCTTCCATGCTAACAGTTCCCACCCAGAATAGCTGCCTAAGAGAGGTGGAGGAGAACCTGTCGTGTGCAGGTGATGAAAGGAAATAAGAATTTAAAAGGTGAAAGTGATTTGTGAAGCTAGAGAACTGATACCCGATACCGTCATTTGCACCTCGGCTAGATGGGTGTCATAAGGGAGAAGTGTTGCTTGAGAGTCCCCCCCCCCAAGAATATTCTCTTGCCAGGGCTCCCCAACTTTAGGTCCACGACAGAAATCAAAGGAAGAAAATTCAACATAACCCTCCCCTTCAAAGGCTTGCGGACTTGTAATATTAGCCAAAGGCTGTCCACTTCAGAGTATACATCAGGTATGATGGAGGACATACCTGGTAAAGTACTGTGCAGCGTGAAAACAGGAGCTGTGTGAGCAAATGCAGGAAAGAAGTTCAAGTCTAAGTGCATCACCTTCTCCCTCACAAGGACACCACTTCCTAAAGGTTCGTTTTCCTAACATCTCCCACTGGCAGAAGCTGGAGAAAAAGAGTTTTCCACAGGACCCAAAGTAGGTCTCAGAGCAAGGGAAGCCCTTATGGTCCTACAATGTAGAATGCTCAGAGATTATGCTGGGCTGAACCAGCTACCTGCCATGGTGAGCTTTTCTACTTGAAGAACAGTTATTAGCAGCAGTATGGATGGTGACTTCAGCACCATCTTTCTGCACCTGCGTACCTAAACAACCTGCGCACCTATAAAGAGGCAGCCCTGAACCACTTGTCCCTTCTACCATCCTCAGCTCACAGAGCTGTCAGGATGCTCAAGGATGGACACTTCTCTAATAAGGGTGTAAGCCACGCATGGGATAAAATTTAGCTCCATCCCCATTTTGGGGGGACACACCAAACCTGGAAAGTCTGTCAGAGTTTCGGGGAGCTAATCAATGAAGCGATTCTCTTCCTCTGACAAAGATTGTGTTGGTTTCTCACCAAGTTGTGAAACATGCAGATGCTCACCAGGTCAAACAGGACAGGCCCCCAGACCCCAGGAAACGTGTCTTCTCATGGAATAAAATGAATGGAGACAGAGTGGGCAAGGGGCAGAAGTGAGAAGGAGACAGAAGTTTGAGAAAAGACTGGACTTGAAGGTCACAATAGTTTGGGGAAGGCAGGTCAAGGTAATGTAGATGGGGCAGACCCTATGGCAGAACACCCAACCAACCAATCACATTTATCAGAACCATCCTTCCAATGATATGTCACAGAATCGTCGGGGGGGGGGGGGGTCAGGAAACTGCACATCCTGGGGTCTAGCTTCCTTCACCCAGCGAACCGGAGTCTACACCTGAACCCTGCAGGCCCCCTAGCCCAAGATCAGACCGATTCCCACAGATCTGAGTGCAGCTAATTAAGAGTAGTAAACAAGCCCAGTTCTTGACAGCGCAGAAGTTTTCCAAATTGTCAGCTTGTTTTCCTCCCAACAAAAGACAGTGGATTCCTACCTTTGTCACATTTCCTCCCCTAAACTTTTCTTTCTGCAATCCCTGCGCCTCTGCTAAACTGCAAGCCACTGAGAATGGACATGCAGGAGCGGCACCCCCCGGGACGCAGGCAGAGGTACCTTTTCCGCGGAGCAGAGGGGCTGCTGCCTAGAGGCTTGCTGCCCTGCCGAGCGGTGGAAGGATGCTGTCGGGATGGAGCACGCTGAGGATTATGCGTTCCTGTCTCTGCGGCCAGACCTTTCAGCAGCTCGGACCAACTGTGCTAGCGATGCACTTAGCAATTATCTGCTGGTACCGATGCCCCGCCCTCTGCTATTGCGATTGGCTCTCCAGTCCCGGGCAGGACTGCATTGGTCTCAGCCGACCTCACTCATTGCTTTGGCTCCTACTATTATCTAAGCCATCAAAGGAAATAATTCCATGTTTCATTGACAACCTGTAAGGCTCTCTCCGGCCCGGTGTGGGGGCAGAACTGGGAGTCCAGTGGAGGGATGGGAGGAGAGTAGGAAAAGGTGGGGGTTGGGGGAGAGAGAGAACAGGAGAAGGGGAGTGGATTGGGGAGAGAGAGAGGGGGAGAGAGACAGAGAGGGAGGGAGAGAGATGGAGCTATCAAGCAATCAGATTCTCGCTCTAGCATTTTAACTTCCACAAAACAGAGCTCATAGCAACAATTTTCTGGCCTTATTTTCCCCCTTACTGGTAAATGTTCCTGAGGGCAGAGAGAATTATAACCGTGGGGTTTCTGCTGGTGTCAGACAAGCTTTGGAAAGCAGAGCAAGGTTGAGGGCTGAAGGAATATAGTGATATTTTTACATCCTGGAGGGCATGTGAAGGTCATTTTAGATCGTTTGGGGGAACATATTATGTACCTAAACTAGAGTTTACCTGTCAATTCTTTCCCTGCAAGTCCACTCAACACCCCAACATAAGGAGGCAATTTCCCTTTGCACCCTATTCAAAGAATCTCCAAAGAGCTGTTCTTGAAGTCTATAAAAGTCTGGAGTTTTTCACTGTCCTCATGGAAATGTCCAAGGGACAGGCATCCTTGATCTAATCATTCTGCTGGGACTCTTGGTTTTGCTTATTCTGATCTGGCTTCAGTTAATTGCTTAAACTCACATTATCAGTCAAAGCAAGAAAAGAGTGGAGAACCAACCTACCAAGCAGTGGAAACAGCTTTTCCTTATTCATCAGAGAATCCTAAAGCCCAAGTTTTGATCTCCCCCCTTTAAATATATTTGTTCACTACATAGAAAGGACATTATTTAGCAACTGAACTTAAGAGGAAAAAAATAATAATTTAGAAAGGGTCTTTGAAATAAAGCTGTTAGGTAATCAAGTTCTGGGGCTGAAGGTGTAGCTCAGTGGCAAAGCCCTTGACTAGAATGTATGAGGCCCTAGAGTTCATCCTATGGCACCACAAAAATAGAAAATCAAGTTCCAGATCAATCAGAAATTAGTCCTCCAAGCTTCTCCTACTGGGAACCCACGTCTTTGACAGGCTACAGTTCCATCCTATCATACAACTGTAATTCTTTCCCTCTTCTGCATCCTCAGTAGCATGTCCTCCACCACCTGGTACAGCGAGTCTCTATTTCATGTGTACATGCCTGGCTTGTCTAAGTACATTTCAAGCTCTGGAAGGACAGAGATAGTATCGTGTATATCTTTATAACTCCACAGACAGCACCTATCTCTCAATAAGCAGGCTGACTGATAAAACATAATTCAAAACATAAAGTGTGCACAGCTCTGAGCTTCATGGAATCATGATCTCACTATGATGCTCACCCAACTGGGTGGAGTGGGGAGGGGGTCCACCCTCAAGTCTGGGAGCCAGAAATTCAACACTGAACACTAGGAAATGCTGCAGGTACAGAAGTCATACCAGGCTCTCAGCACCACTGTTTTCTCTCAGGAAAATGAGGCAACTCTTCACTCGATGTCTTTCTTCTCCCTCAGGGGTTTGAAGGAAAGGAAAGAATGGGGATACACGCTTTTCTTGAGAGGTCTCACCTCAAACATTCAGTTACTTCCACAGTGTCTTTCTAAATCATGGCCTGACAGAGAGTGACAGTATATTAGGATAGCATATTTGATACTAGGACAAGGAATGTATCAAAATATTTGTTTTCTATCTTATTACTTTATCTAGGTAAACTTCCTACAAATGTACAATGATAGAATTAAACAATTCAAGTTTAAATGAAACATTGAAAATTGACATAGTCCCAGAAAAATTGGTCCATTTAGTCATGGCATAAAAATCATAAATTACACTTCTATAATGTAAGTAGTATTATTTCCAATTCCAAGAGGAGTTTTGTTCATACTGGCCCTCCCCTCATGCCAAAATAAAGAAATAAATAAATTATAGAAACTCCCTTGAGCAACTATCAAAGGTTTGGTTGTCCCTAAAGAAAAAGGAAAACATATCAAATGATTTTCTAAAATGCTTTGTCTGAAACAGCATGTCCTTATGTACCTTTTTCTTTTTGAAGTTGAGAGAGAGGAAAGAGAAGAGAGAGAGAGGGAAAGAGGAAAGAGAGAGAGAGAGAGAGTTGCAAACAGTTGTTTATGTCAGTGCCTTTTTAACTGCCTGGTCATAAAATATTCTCTTTGAGAGAAGGATGATCCCTTTGTGTCCCATAGATCACCTGTTTAATTCTGAGAGTTAGAGGATGCATATTAAGTATGCAGATTCCACTGGTACTTGCATTTGTATTAAATATTAGCTCCATACAATTTAAATTCATTGGGCTATGAAATGTACAGAATTCCATTTTGTGGGCAGTACTCTGACAAAGTAGCCTATTTTGAGTTAACAGTTTGAGTGTACTAGTAGTCTGAAAGGATTTGGGGGGTTCTCGTTCCTTTTTTAGTGACATAATTAAAGAAACAAAATGAAGTGTTTTTTTATTATTAAATTCAAATTGAATAACATCCATCAAAACCACCATCTTTCTTGTGGGTAACTACTTGTTATAACAAGTTATCTCTAGGAGACTAGAGAAACTGGCATTTACTCGTCAGCTTATACCATTTTCTCAGTTATCATTTATTTATACCAAATTCTGTTCCTAAAAGGGAGAAGAGGAGAATAAATCTAGGCAATGCCAAGAAAGAAAGAAATGTGTGAAAACGGGAGGAAAAAAAAAAGAGGGTGATTTTCAACACTACATCTTTGCTTATTGACTTGAGCCACCCAATATCATTTAAGTAGAACCATGACATTAACAGCATTTCTTTAAAAAAAAAAATCTTCTTATTAGCTTTGGATATATGAAAGATTTTTCAGAAAACTTTTCCCAGCAGTTTCCTAAGTAAAGAAACTTGGAGGAATATACACACAGCTTTCCCTTCTCACTGAGGGTTGTTGTAAAACTTTAGGTAATCAAACTCTCTCCCTCTCCACCTCCCCAACCCATTCCCCCAAATCAAACCTATGGAGCCAATAGCATTTCAACAAAGTGTAAGAGGAGATTTGGCTGCCAGGAGGGTGTCAGTCACCATGGACCATTCTTAATGATTTCATTAATTACTAATGAGTCTTCCAGGAAGTTGGTGTCAGATAGACAGAGCTTCATGAAGTTTCAAGACTGTAAGGAATATTTTATTATATAAAACACTCTGTTAAATAAAAACATGTGATTCTGTTCATTCAAATCATGATCGTGTTTATTAGTGAGCCAGCATTGTAAATAACCTGAAAGAGAAAGACAGAGACTGAGAGACAGAAAGAGATTTGCAAGGCTAAATTGCCCATCTAAATTCTGTTTTGCTTCAGTTAAATTCTTCATAAGAAATACAGAGCTGAAAGCTGTCATGAAATATTGTCCAGCAATGCACCAATTGACAGGAGTTGGAGAATTGAATTAAGAAGGTCAGCATGCCTTCCGTGAGGCTGGCAGATCACGTATGACATGAAGCACTCTTCCAAGACAAAGGGCTGCACACATGATTGTGGCTGTTGGAACTCCTGCCAGCCAGGACCCATGTCCTAACAGAGACACTTTCTTCAAATAACTCATCAAACATATTTACAACGCCTGCCACATGTCATTGCATTTATAAAAACAGGTGATAATACTATTTCTAAGGCTATTAAGAGAATGATGGCAAATCAACCTACAAAGGACTACACAAATGCCCTATCATGGGATATTAAGCCTAGTGATAAAGCAATAATGTCTTGGCATGGGCCAATATAAATGTGATGCATAACCATCTGGATCTATTAGACCAGATGTCAGATCAGCTTTCAGAGTGATACCTAAAGATACTCAGAGCACCAGAAAGATGCTCCACTCAAAGGGCTACAGCTTAGGGCAATGAGGCCTCACTTCTTGTTGCCTAATTAATAGGCAAACTCTTCCACCAGTGCACACCAGGCTGGAGAAAAGGATCTGGGTGTGTGAAGGTGTCAAATTTCAGCCCAAATTTCTTCAGATATACATATTTTATTACTCCAATCATGCAAACTATAAACTATATGCATGTTTGTTTCAGGGCATGGCTTAAAAAATAATTTACCCCAAATATTTTTGTAATACTAACTTTTCAGGAATATGCCCCAAATTTGTGGAGCATGAGGTTTGAGCAACACAAGTTTAATACTTCTACACTGCCCTTCTGTCTGACTTCCAGAGATAGCTGAAATTGGACCCCATCCCATCTACCCCACTTCATTCCACTCTCATCCTCCTCTGCTCCCATCCATTACAGACCTCCCATGGTCACATACTGTCCAACTGCCTGACTTTCCCATGGCTTCCCCAGGTTTTGCCTCCCCCACCTCCATCTTCCCCTAGTGCAATTACACTCATTCTTCAAGGCTCAACCCACACCTCTCCCTTTCTCACCATTTCTGTCTGCCAGGCTATTTTAATTTTACCCTGTACCACTCATGTTAAAATTAATTATATTCCTGTTTGTATTTTCATTATTTTTTTCTTAATAACCCACATTACCACACATTCAACAAGGCTGACGGCAGCCACCACCATGTTGGACACACATTTAGAAACACCAGAAATGAAAAGCTCAAGACAAAGGAGAAGGATCTACTTCCTTCATGGCTAAAGACAATGGACTGCTTTCACAAAAGGAAGGATATCAGGTCACCCTGGCCTGTTCAAGATGTTCAGGGGAGAATGAAGTGACCCATCTTTGCATCTTTGGTTTTGTATCTCTCAGCACCAGGAAGCCGGAAAACATCACAATGGTGGCAGCACCGAATTTTCCCTCCTTTC